AGAGAGACAGAGACAGAGACAGAGACAGAGACAGAGACAGAGACAGAGACAGAGACAGAGACAGAGACAGAGACAGAGACAGAGACAGAGACAGAGACAGAGACAGAGACAGAGACAGAGACAGAGACAGAGACAGAGACAGAGACAGAGACAGAGACAGAGACAGAGACAGAGACAGAGACAGAGACAGAGACAGAGACAGAGACAGAGACAGAGACAGAGACAGAGACAGAGACAGAGACAGAGACAGAGACAGAGACAGAGACAGACACAGACACAGACACAGACACAGACACAGACACAGAGACAGAGACAGAGACAGACACAGACACAGACACAGACACAGACACAGACACAGACACAGACACAGACACAGACACAGACACAGACACAGACACAGACACAGACATACGCGGATTGTTGCTTCCTGCCTTCACCACAACAGACAGGACAGAGCTGGCGATGGCAGGATGACAACGCGCCTACCTGCACGAGTTCATCCAGTGTGATGTGGGGTTCCTTGCGAGCAGCTACAACATGAGGCAGGTCTTGCCATAGCCAACGATCGTGTTCGGGGAGATTCACCTAGGTATTGCATGGCATTAAAATCGATCAGGGGCGCCGCGACAAACGGCAGCAAGTAGTGGGGGTCGTGACTGCCAATAACGTACTTTTTGACGCGCTTTACCAAAACCTTGGTAGCGGGTTTTGATGCGTTCATCATAAGCATCAAGTTGTGCTTGCCATGCACTCGCATCGGCCGTCTTGAGCAGCGCCTTGGCCGCCATCTCGCCAAAGGCTCACTGCAAAAAGCACCCCCGGCTCCCAACAGCGCCAGCGCCGTTTCAACTGTCTGACAATTTCTTTCTTACTTTTTCAGAGAGAGAAGAGAGAGAGAGATCTTGACAACGAGAGCCAAATTTTGACCAAAAAAAGGACAACAACGTATTATTTTGTGTTTGAGATCGTCGTGAGGAGCGAAATCTGTTTGCGGAGACATTTGGACGACGACGACGACGACGACGACGACGACGACGGGCCAGCACCGGGATTGGTAACTGTATGGCGTGTCACTACGTGTCAAGCAGTTGGTGATGGCAGCAGCGAGGTATATGTGCAGGCAATAGAGTGACTGACGATCGGTTCTCAACTTGATTGCCTGCGCTTGAGGCACGAGACCTGCGCCCCCCTTTTTTTTGGTCGGACCATCAGCGTGAGGTTTGGGAGCATCATGGGGGTCCAGCCGGCAGTGCAGCAGCTGCCATGAGGCCCAACATGATGGAGCCCAGCATCCCTAGCTTTCAGCGCTTAGTCCTTCCACCTGTACGGCGGACGCCGGATGCAAGCGTCATGCCGCTGCCCTCGCCTCCTTCGCCAAGTGTTGATCACGAGAGCCAGCAGCATGACAACAGTCCTGCACCTCGAGGGCCTTCCCGCATGTCACGGGTCTCTTTTGCTGCTTCACTTGCCTCGAGCCTGGGTATCACTTCGAGCATTCCCAGCAGCTGGGTCAGTTATGCTCGTGCTCTGTCGAGTTGAGTGTTTTTCTGCACAAGCGCCGAGCTTTTCGGCAGCAGACCATGCCATGCTCATGTACACCCTCCTCTCTCCTGATGCTTGAAATGCAGCACCTGGTTCGGAAGTTTGGTCAGACTGAGCCCATTCAGATCTGGACTGGGGGATGCATCCCTGCCCAAGCGCGCATGCGCCAAGTAGCCATCAGGCAAGTGGCAAGATTGAACACGCAGTCGTGCTCCTCGCCCTGCCTCACTCCAAAATCGCAGCTTCATCTTCGTCCTTGGAACCTCATGATTGCCTTCACCGTCCGGCGCGGGCCAATGCGCCTGCCTTGCTAAACACCAGTGTTTTTGTCCTCTCCCCAACCTTTGATTATTTTATCTTCTTCATCATTGTGCTCAATGCCATCTTTATGGCCCTATCTCATCCACCCCCCTACGCCGAGTAAGTGGGTCGTGGTTGCGAGGCGAATCAGGCCTATTCCAGCCGAGCCACTTTCTTCGCTGCTGTGTCTGCCAACTCATAGCCTTGCATCTCTTCCAGATATATCTTCACGGCCATTTACACCATCGAAATGATGGGCAAGATGTTCGCCATGGGCATCGTGCGAAATCGACTCTGCTATTTACGCGAGCCATTCAATATCCTGGATGCTTTTGTTGTTGCTCTCAGGTTCGTGGGCTTACCCTGTTTACTGTCATTGTCTTCAAATCCTTGCCCTCTAATTTGATACCAGCTCACCGGGCTCTCCCTGCCTCTCCGCCTGGTCTCAGCTACTTGACCTTTATTCCTTCCGTTGGCTCATATGCCGCCATCCGGACGCTGCGCGTCTTTCGAGCTCTACGCTCTATTACCGGTGCGCTCCTGCCTGGCAGCCGACACCACCATGCGATTTTCATGCCTTTTGGATTCAAAAGTCAGCGTTTTCCATTCTATGTCCCTCACGCACCGTGCCTGAACTCGCAATACGGCCCTCGTGCGCAGCCTTGCCTCGCTTGCGAGCCATGGTCAACTCGCTGTGGCGCTGCGTTGTTGCTCTGTGCAGTGTACTGACACTCCTTGCCTTTGCCCTCATCCTCTTTTCCATCATATCCCTTCAACTTTACGCGGGTCAGACGCGTAATGTGGCCTTTTCCAGCATTGCTCAGTGCGTGTGTCTGAGGCTGTTTCAGGGCTCACATTTGCGCCAAACACCCCTGGTCTGCGTATCCCCTGTTTCTTGTTCTTGCCGCGTTCCATCGTTGCCTCAGGCACACTCCGCCACAAATGCGTGGCCTTGGCACCCTCGGGGCTCTCCGATGCAGCCTGGGACTCTTGGATACACAACGCCACCCACTGGGCTACCAACGCTGACGGTGAGTTCTCAGCTCTAATGTCAAGTGATCATGATGGTGTTAGCATCCAACTGTGTACCGTCACAATACAAATCCTGTCTGCCTAGGTGATTACCTGCTATGCGGCAACATGTCGTCGGCACGGCGTTGCCCAAGTGATTACGTCTGTCTTTCGCGCCTTCTGCCAAACCCCAACTATGGGTTCACCAGCTTTGACAACATGGGCGCTGCTGCCCTGACCAATTTTCAGGTTTGCGCTCGCATTCGGGTTCAATGAGTGGGTCTGCTAGCACCGTTTCATCTGTGTGCCGTCACAGCTCTGCTGCAGTCGAGCCTTCTTCGGCTTGAGAGTTGGTCTCTCACGGCTCTTTATTCTACACGTTGTGTTGTGCCTGTGAACACTCAGGTTCTGACACTAGATTTTTGGGAGGATGTTTACAACAAAGTGCTGGAGACCAACGGCAAGGGTCACCTCATCATCTTCATCATCCTTGTATTTGTGGGCTGTTTCTTCATCATCAATCTTGTGCTTGCCATTGTAGCTATGGCTTATTCTCGCGAGGTATGCGTGCATTCGTGTTCACACTCGATTAGGCGCTTCGTGATGTGTTTGTCACTCGCTTGATCTCTCTCTCTCCTTCCACCCACCACACATACCTTTGCCATTGAAATACACCCGCCACGGTATTCAGATAATCGGTTGTGGCCATGTGCTGTATCTAGGTTAAGGTTGAGGCTACGCGTCGCGCAACCTTGGCGAGTCGTGTCATGTCCATTGCCCATGCCGGCTTTACAGACCTGCCCATTACGCGACGTCTGTCCACAAGTGCCGCCGCCCTCGAGTCTGAGAACGCAGAGACCGAGTCCATTGCACCCGCAACGCGTGGTGAGACCAGGGCAGCCAAGGACCCAATTTCCAAGCATGCTGTTTCACGCCCCAAAGCTGAGCAGCTTAGTGCTTGGACACGTGTGCGGCGGGCGCTGTTCACCGTGGCCACAGCTCAGCAATTTGCTACATTCATTACGATTGTGATTGTGCTCAACACAATCACACTGGCCATGTGGTATCCACAGGCCCCCAGCGCCTATCTCGCTGGTTTGGCCATCTGCAATTATGTCTGGACGGGCATCTTTGTGGTTGAGTTGCTCATCAAATTGGGGGGTCTGGGACTACGTTCCTACTTTGCATCTGGGTGGAATCGTTTCGATTGCCTTGTGGTCACCTTGTCCATCGTTGAAATCATCATTGAAGCGACTACCGACAGTTCGACCGGGGGACTTTCAATTCTGCGCAGCTTCCGATTGTTGCGCGTGCTGAAGCTGGCGCGGTCTTGGAAGACCATGCAGCATCTCGTCGGGGTTGTGGGCCGATCCCTTTCGGACTTGCTCAGTCTGACGATCATACTCTTGATCATCATGTACATCTTCGCCGTCATGGGCTTTCAACTCTTCCGTACCGACTACACCCGCGACAAGTTTGAGGGTGAGCTTCCACGCTGGAACTTTGAGGACTTTGGCCATGCCTTTATGGTCGTCTTCCGCGTCCTTTGTGGCGAGTGGATTGAACTTCTATGGGAGACAATGCATGCTGCCGGCTATGGTGCCGTGGTATACTACGTTATTGTGCTGGTCGTTGGTAACTTCATCGTGCTCAACCTCTTCCTTGCACTGCTCCTCTCGGCCTTTGACGTGACGGAGCTGGCCTCGGTGGCAGGCAGCAGCAATAGTACGCTTGCGAGCTCTCGATCTAGCCTACTTAGTGTCAGTTCAAACGACCACGCGACCATCAGCACGGATCAAGACAAAGTTTCCCTACAGGGTTGCAGCGCATCTACGCCCATTGTACTGAACGAGGTGAACCCAGCTCCCAGATCTGAAGGCATCGCGCTGGCTCAGGCGCCGCCGACTGTGATGATAAACCCGCAGCAGGAGTCGCAGAACATGTTCGACCAAAGGAACAGTGCTCCGGGCCTTTTGGGACCCGCTCAAGCCCCGTGTTTAATCCAGAGCGTACCATTGCAAGCGAGCAAGAAGGAGGGCGTTGACAGTGTGGCCAAACAATCGGCGCCCAAGGGTCTTCGACGATTGTGGACGAGCAAGAAAATTGCTCCGATTACGCTGACAAGCGGTGAAAGCAGCGGGCATTCAGAGCCACAATCAAGCCCACGCAAACGAATGGCCTGCTGTATTTGGTCTGCTCAATGCTGGGCCAGCTACAAGGCGAGCCGAGTCAAGAGGGCGGCGTCCCGAGTCGTGAATCATTGGCTATTTGAGACCTTCATCCAGGTGCTCATCCTGTGGAGCTCAATCATGCTTTGTTTTGAGGATGCCAGCTTGCACCGCAATGATCGGCTGCAACAAACGCTGACAGGCATGAACATCTTCTTCACGACCGTGTTCGTATTCGAAGCTCTCCTCAAGATCTTTGCCTGGGGCCCCTATGAGTATTTTCGAGGCGACAATCGCTGGTGGAATCGTCTTGACTTCTTCATCACGCTCGTGTCCCTGATTGATTTGATCAGTGCCGGGGCAGACCTGACGGCTTTGCGATCGCTGCGTACCCTGCGTGCGCTCCGACCACTGCGGGCTATCTCGCGATGGGAGGGCATGCGCGTCGTGGTCAATGCTCTATTGAGTGCCATTCCAGCCATTGCCAACGTTTTGTTGGTTTGTGCCTTGTTTTGGCTCATCTTTGCCATTGTTGGGGTGCAATTTTTTGGTGCACGTTTCGGTCGATGCGTGGATGCGGATGGCGAGCTCGTGCCTCGAACAGAGGTGCGTAGTCGCGCCGACTGTGCCTCGGCCAGTAGCATAGCGGCAGGCTACACCTGGGTCAACCCCACAGTCAACTTTGATAACATCTTGAATGCCTTTGTGGCGTTGTTGCAAGTGGCCACCTTTGAAGGCTGGATGGAGATTATGGAAGCTGCCGTGGACGCTCAGGGCGTTGACAAGCAACCGCAGCGTGAGACTCAATTTGAGGCGTACATCTTTTTTGTCGTCTTTATCATTTTTGGCGGCTTTTTCACGCTCAACCTCTTCATCGGGGTGATTATCGATACGTTCAACCGTCTCAAAGCCGAGCTCAAGGAGGGCCGCAACTTGTTTCTGACGGAGGGCCAACAACAATTTATCACCCAGTTGCAGAGTGCGCTGCGTGCCAAGCCAAAGCGACGCGTAAGTGCCCTTGACCCCGGTTCCGCCATGCGCATGCGCAGTAGGCGGTTTGTTACCCCGGTGTTCTCGCCCAGGCATGCCATGAGGCACACATGCCCTTTAAAATTGGGCACCGATGGGATGACTCTGCGACTCAAGTGACTGACTCACCTGCTTGTTGGCTGGACGGGACGTGCATGTTTAGTATGAGCGGCCACAGCGCCGCTGGCGTGGGTGGTGTTATGACGTGGCTACAGGTCCATATCTGGAGCCCTTTATCATAGGGTGTATCGGACTCAATGCGATTGTGTTCTGCATGTACTACTACGACGAGCCCGCAGCGTTGACCCGCTTTCAGACAATCATCAACCTTGTGTTCGCGGGTATCTTCACGGTCGAGGCCCTGATCAAGATTGCGGCTCTGGGCCGCGCGTATTTTGCTACGGGGTGGAATCGCTTTGACTTTTGCATCGTGGTGCTCACTTTTGTGGGTATTGTGGTGGAGGCGGTGTCTTCCAGCCTGCCCATGAGTCCGACCACGCTGCGCGTGCTCCGCCTGCTGCGTGTGATTCGCGTGCTTCGGGTGGTTAAGCAGGCTCGTGGCATTCAGCGCTTGTTGACGACCATGGTCATGTCTGCACCGGCCCTGCTCAACATTGGAACCTTGCTGTTCGTGGTGCTTTTTGTGTATGCCATCGTGGGCATGACGCTTTTTGCACATGTCAAGTTTACCGGACCCGTCGTCGACAACTTTATGAATTTTCGCAACTTTGGCAATGCGCTGGTAAGTATCGGGTGGGAGGCATGTGCATGTTTTTCCACGCTTGCGCTCGTGTGCGCTCGTGTGCGCCTTAGCCTGGGCCGAAACCCTTTGTCGCTTGTCGCTTCACGTGTGCGGCGAGTGTTTGGGTGGTATGTATTGACGCGTCTTGTCATTGGGCTGGCCGATAGGTGCTATTGTTTCGATTGTCCACCGGGGCGGGGTGGAATGATGTGCTTGAGGCCTGCTCCATCCAAGCGCCCGACTGTGATCCCACTTACTTGGATCTCCCCAACGGCAATTGTGGAGATCCCTTGGCAGCCAAGTTTTACTTTTCCACCTTTGTTGTGGTCACCTTCTTGATCCTTATTAACATGTACATTGCGGTGATACTGGAAAATCTGGCCTTTGTACGTTGACGACCGGGTTGGGTAGTGCAGAGTTGCAGCAATGGTGCTCAGCAGCGCCTGGTCGTACTCTTGTCGTAGGTTCAAGCCGAGGAGAAGCTGCCGCTTACGTCGGCAGAGATTGAGGTCTTTTACGAGAAGTGAGTCGCAGTCAGCCTGTGCAGGCTCGGTGAGGGAGGTTCGAAGCCAACTGAAGTGACTTTTGTATTCGGCATATTGACGACGTCTCGAACTGGCTCGTGTCTGGGTAGATGGGCACATTATGACCCGGATGCAGATCGCTTCATTCTGTACCACGATCTGCACGCGCTCTTTGCCGCGCTACCACCTCCATTGGTGACCCAAACCATGACGTGGGGCCGCATCGCGGCGCTCAATATGTGCGTGGCATCAGACGTAGGGTTGCTTGTCGTTCGAAGCGAACTATGAGACGGCGCTCATTCACCTGTTTTTTTCTTTCCCCGGCTTTGTCTTGGCGGGATGTGTGGATGTGGTTGGGCGTAGACCGCTCTACGCAGGGGACAAGGTGCATTGCTCGGATGTACTGCACGCGCTGATCATGCAAGTGGTACGCCAGCAGGATGAGGAGCACCTCCTCACTGAAGAACAGATTCACCAGGTGCGTCAACAATGCGGTGCTTGCTGGGAAACGGAAGAAGACCAGTCTTGCATTCGCTGATGAACACCGTTTGCTCTTGTAGCGTGTGGAGGACCATATGAGTCGTGCATTCCCAGACCGTCAACAGCTCAGCAAGATCGGCTCGACCTGGGATCGTCTTCGTGAGCAGCAGGCAGCCCGCCGACTGCAGCGGCATGTTCGCAAGGTACGAGCTCAGGCCCATTTCTGCCTTTTCTTTTTCTTGCCAAAGAATCGGTGCGTTTTTTTGGTCTCATCGTTGCTGCATGCGTGCATGCGTGTAGTGGTTGGAGGGACGTCGCGCGATACGTGTGCAATCTTCTAGAAAGTGAACTGTCGAAGGCCAGTTAATCAGCGCTAACCGATACAGTCGTCTCTATAATAGCAAAACTCTGACAATACATGCTGACAAATACATGGCTGGCGCTCGAGACATTTTTTGTTGGTGCATCGTTTGTCAGCTTTTTTCTGAAACTCGCTTGAAGCACGAGCTTGAATGTGTGTGCGACAGTTGTTGATGGGGCTGACAAGGGACCACCGCCCGAAGGCAGGTGGCCGGTGAGACGGGGCTCAGGCACAGGCACTCGCCCTTCTCTCGGCCAAGAACCGGCCACGACCAAACAACAACCGCGAACAAACCAACCAACCAACCAACCAACCAGCGCACATCACCACCAA